GCATAAAATAAATAATTAGTAAATGGCAATAAATAAATAATTTACGTATGTAATATTTTTTTGTCCTTATAATTCTGCAAGTGAAACAATATCTAGAAATAAATTTAGAACAATAAAGCAAAATATTCATTTATTGGACAATACAAAATTGAATAAGAATGAAAAATTTTCCAAGCTAACAATAAGACTTATATTTGACATTATGAATTCAAAATTTATGCAGTTTGGAGTTTTTCATAATCTTTGGATGCGAAATGTATTGCAAAAGCAATAGATGAGTTTTTGGCAGAAGAAGATCTTGATCCGGACAAATGTGTCGGTTTAGAAGGTGGTGTGCAAGCAATCCTACGCAGAAAATATAAAAAAGCTTTGTTCTTTGATCAAAGGAAGGTACCATCAAAGATATTATTACATTTTTTCAAGAATCAGTTTTGAGACGCAAATTATCGTTGATTGGTGGAGCGAGAAACACAAAAATATTAGTGTTTTTAATGAGAATTTTCCTATTATAATGGAGGCCTTTGAAACCTCGTCACGGGAAGAAAATAAGAATAAATAATGCGACTAGAAAAAATACTTAGCAACTACATGCAGCAGCTTCTAGAGCTTCGTTTATTCTCAGCTTTATTTTGATAGCCAAATACTTGGCTATGATGGAACCTGTGGTAAACGTGCTCCAATCCGTAGCTTTGAATGCAGTTAAGGCATCCCAGCACATTAGCCGCCTTTTGGAATTTATAGAAAACCACCGTAACGGTCCAGAAAACGTCACAACTGGAATTATTAGGAACGCTACTATCGTTGCAGAAAAACTTGGAGTGGGAGAAGACATGAAGTCCGTGCCTCGTATTTTTGAGAGGCAACCATCCAGCAGCAAGCCCCTCAGAATTCTAGCGGAGGTCTTTAATAATACCATACTTAGACTCGATTATTAATTCTTTTGAAGTTCGCTTTTCTGAAGAAAACACCCCGTTATTTTCCTTATGTAAATTACACCCAGCTCAAATGTTAGACATGTCCCTTGAAGACCTCGTAGAAGCTGGTGAAGTCTTTTCCCTATTTTACAATTTATCAAATATCAACAACGAAATCGAACTATGGAAAAAACTATGGCAAGATAAACCTGANTTTGGGAAATTTTCATACTCATATTCTAAGAAATCGATTTTATTCGAATTATTAAAATTTAATCGCCGAAAATTGTAAAATTCGAAAAAAATTTCGATCATTTCAAAAATTTTTTTCTCAAGAACTAAAAGTAATTTTTCAAAACGGCTTTTTGCATTAAAAAGAAGATACTTTAATTAATAATTGTTGATATTTCCACAAGGATCCTTCAAGAAATGAATTTTTTAGCGAATTTTGAAACTTATCGATGAAAATTGCAAGATCGAAAATTTTATCAAAACTTCAAATATTGTTTTCTCAAAAACTAAAAGTTATTTTTCAAAACGGGTTGGTTCATTGGTAAGAGGGCACTTTTATTAATACTTTGGGAAATTTTCATACTCATATTCCAAAAAATCGATTTTATACGAATTATTAAAATTTAATCGGCAGAAATTGCAATTATTGCGATATTTGAATAAAAATGAAATTAATAAGAAAGCAAGATTTAACTAACGAAGCAACTCTAAAAAGAGGATACTTTAATTAATAATTGGTGATATTTCCACAAGGATTCTTCAAAAAATTAATTTTATAGCGAATTTTGAAAATTATCAATGAAAATTGCAACGTCGAAAATTTGATCAAAACTTCAAATATTGTTTTCTCAAAAACTAAAAGTTACTTTTCAAAACGTGTTGGTTCATTGGAAAGAGGACACTTTTATTAACACTTTGGGAAATTTTCATACTCATATTCCAAGAAGTGGATTTTATACGAATTTTTAAAACTTAATCGGCGAAAATTGCAAAATTCGAAAAAATTGTCGATCATTTCAAAAATTTATTTCTCAAGAACTAAAAGTGATTTTTCAAAACGGCTTTTTGCATTAAAAAGAGGATACTTTAATTAATAATTGGTGATATTTCCACAAGGATCCTTCAAGAAATTAATTTTATAGCGAATTTTGAAAATTATCGATGAAAATTGCAACATCGAAAATTTTATCAAAACTTCAAATATTGTTTTCTCAAAAACTAAAAGTTATTTTTCAAAACGGGTTGGTTCATTGGAAAGAGGGCACTTTTATTAATACTTTAGGAAATTTTCATACTCATATTCTAAGAAATCGATTTTATACGAATTATTAAAATTTAATCGCCGAAAATTGAAAATTCGAAAAAATTTTCGATTATTTCAAAAATTTATTTCTCAAAAACTAAAACTGATTTTTCAAAACGGCTTTTTGCATTAAAAAGAGAATACTTTAATTAATGATTGATGATATTTGCACAAGAATCCTTCAGTAAATTAATTTTATAGCGAATTTTGAAAGTTATCGATGAAAATTGCAACATCGAAAATTTTTGCACTCTTCAAATATTGTTATGTCAGAAACTAAAAGTAATTTTTTCAAAACGGGTTGGTTAATTGGAAAGAGGACACTGCTATTAACATTTTGGGAAATTGTCATACTCATATTCCAAGAAATCGATTTTCTACGAATTATTAAAATTTAATCGGCGAAAACTGCAAAATTCGAAAAAATTGTCGATTATTTCAAAAATTTATTTCTCAAAAACTGAAAGTGATTTTTCAAAACGGCTTTTTACATTAAAAAGAGGATACTTTAATTAATTATTGGTGACATTTCCACAAGAATCCTTCAAGAAATTAATTTTTTAGCGAATTTTGAAAATTATCAATGAAAATTGCAACATCGAAAATTTGATCAAAACTTCAAATATTGTTTTCTCAAAAACTAAAAGTAATTTTTCAAAACGGGTTGGTTCATTGGAAAGAGGGCACTTTTATTAATACTTTGGGAAATTTTCATACTCATATTCTAAGAAATCGATTTTATACGAATTATTAAAATTTAATCGCCGAAAATTGCAAAATTCGAAAAAATTGTCGATTATTTCAAAAATTTATTTCTCAAGAACTAACAGTGATTTTTCAAAATGGCTTTTTGCATTGAAAAGAGGATACTTCAATTAACAATTGATGATATTTCCACAAAGATCCTTCAAGAAATGAATTTTATAGCGAATTTTGAAAGTTATCGATGAAAATTGAAAATTTTATCAAAACTTCAAACATTGTTTTCTCAAAAACTAAAAGTTATATTTCAAAACGGGTTGGTTTATTGGAAAGAGGACACTTTTATTAATACCTTGGGAAATTTTCAAACTGATATTCCAAGAAATGAATTTTATCCAAATTTTTAAAACTTAATCGGCGAAAAATACATAATTTGAATAAATTGTCAATCATTTCAAAAATTTATTTCTCAAAAACTAAAAGTAATTTTTCAAAACGGCTTATTGCATTAAAAAGAAGATACTTTAATTAATAATTGGTGATATTTTCACAATGATCCTTCAAGAAATGAATTTTATAGCGAATTTTGAAAATTATCGATGAAAATTGCAACATCGAAAATTTTATCAAAACTTCAAATATTGTTTTCTCAANTGAAACGAGAAAAGCCTTTATAATTTTGGTCACTTTACCCTGCACGACATATACTGTTGAACGATCTTTAAGCGGCTTGAGGACAATAAAACCTGGCTTAGAAGCACTATGGCAGAATGCCGTCTCAATGGTCTTCCCATGATGAGTGTGTATAGGAAGCATATTTTTGAGAACTTTGAGGGTTTTATTAATAATCTGGTTGACCAGTTCGCGAAGAAGCCACGAAAATTATGGTTTAAATAATTTGGCTAACACTATACTTAGAATCACTCGGCTTCGTGCGGTCTAGTGCTAGTTCTAGTTTTACACTAACACTGTTACTATGTCAAACTAACACTATACCTAGAACTAGAATCATTCGGGTTTAGCCGTCTTGAAAGACGTGCGGCTAAACCCAAAACTTCCTAGTTTTAGGTCTAGTGTTAGTTCTAGTTTTAGTTCATTAACAATATACAACCTAGGGCTATCTAGTACCAACTAGCGCTACTTAGAACTGTCACTAAAACTAACACTAGACCTAAAACTAGAATCATTGGGGTTTAGCCGTCTTTAAAAACGTGCGTCTAAGCCCGAATGTTTCTAGTTCTAGGTCTAGTGTTAGTTCTAGTTTTACACTAGCACTGTTACTATGTAGAACTAATACTATATCTCGAACTATGTATGACGTATGGCTTAACCCAATGTGTCTAGTTCTAGGTCTAATAGTTTTACACTTGCACTGTCACTAGAACTAACACTATACCTAGAATTAGAAACATTTGGGTTTAGCCACACGTCTCTAAAGACGGCTAAACCCGGATGATTCTAGTTCTAGGTATAGTGTTAACTCTAGTTTTAATTGTTATTCAGTGCTAGATTCTCGCTCCCTTAGCGTTTCGAGTTAGGGGAATTTCACTTTATAATCTAAAAAAATAATCACCTTGTCTATTAAGTAACATTCTAAATCTTCCCATTAATTTAGAAACAACCGGGGAAGTTTCGATGTCAATCATTTCGTACATAATTTCAATTATTTAATGTTTCATTAATAAATTAAAATTTGTATCGGGATTTTTTTTATTCGAAACTTTGNTTAATAATTGGTGATATTTCCACAAGGATCCAACAATAAATTAATTTTATAGCGAATTTTGAAAGTTATCGAATAAAATTGCAACATCGAAAATTTGATCAAAACTTCAAATATTGTTTTCTTAAAAACTAAAAGTTATTTTTCAAAACGGGTTGATTCATTGGAAAGAGGACACTTTTATTATTACTTTGGGAAATGTTCAAAATCATATTCCAAGAAATGGATTTTATACGAATTTTTAAAACTTAAATTGAGAAAAAAAATTTTTTAAGCTTTTTTATATATCAAGTACTTTTATACTTATCAAAAACAAAAACATGCTTTCACGACTAACATAATGGGGTAAATTTAAAAAAATGTTATTTATTATAAGGTTTACACAGCTATTCTAATGTTGTAACAACAAATTTACTCGATGAATTAGATCGCATTGATTCTTTTTTATCTACATCATCGGGAACAACAGGCAATGTAACATCTTTATTAAAAGTCGAGTAACCTAAAAAAAAAATACTTTAATTAATTATTTTAACATTTATTATTGTTTATTAACCTTTTCTGGTCGATGGTGAACAAATTGTTGCGATGAAACTGTTTGATTTAGTATCATTAACCAATCGATTAAAATAAATCTCTTCCAATTCTTTAATAGTGGGTTTTATTTCAAAATCCATACACGGCGACCACGTGTATTCGTGCCTTCCGGTTATTATATCATGATCTAAATTCGAAAGCGATTGGGTTAACCCCCTTTTGTTGAAATCTCGCGAAACTTTAATATCGTGCTTCCAAAAATGTCTTTTTATGTGATCCCTCGAAGCGATTGGAGCAACTTCTTTTACCTGATGTTAAATAAAATCATGTATCGATTAAAACGATGTAAATTATATCACCTTGAATGCTATTAATCCAGCGATATAAATAAAAATTATATTAGCAAACGTTAAACATAAACTCATACATCCTAATAAAGCAATTTCAAATCCTCTATCATCTGAATAATAATTGGTGTAAACTAAGGTGCTGTATCGAGTTGATTCATCTCCTTTTAAGTAGTAAATTGAAGCAACCGACCATAATAACCCCTAAAATAAAAGAATTAATTGAAATTGTTTTGGTGTTTTTATTTTAATACAGCATTGACTGCTGGTGGCATTAAAGATGTTGAAATAGCAACCCCAACAAGCGAAGCGATGTTATCACTGAGTAATCCAAGGGCTAAAGCAGCCCCTGATAAAATTGCAATTAAACATCCTACTCCGAAAGTGCGAAGTTCTCCTCGAGAAATCATTTCGTTCGTTGGCCAATCGTTATCACCATATTTATCCGTACTTAGGCATATAACAGCTCCATAACAATAACCCACGAGTAATGCTATTAATAATCCTAATAATTCGCTTTGTATTCCGATTTTACGTAGGGTTTTATCTCGTATTACAGTCCCGAAAGTTGCTGCCATAACTGGACCCTAAGATTATTAATTATTAGAAAAAAATATATTTATTAAATAAAAAGTTTTACCATCATTGGGGAAATTAACATGCTTGATAATAAATAGACGTTGTTGTTTTCAACTAAACCTATCGCACATAAAGTGCTGAATAAACAAAAAAGGAATGTTGTTGAAACGAATGTGTTAAAAATGAATTAACTTACGTTGCTACAACTAATAAACATACAAAATCGAAAGTTAAAGCTGCGTGTAATTTTATATTTTCAACTACTTGGTTTACGGTGGGTCTCGCTCTCACTGATAGTATAAATTGGCTCCATAAAGATTTTTTCGATCTATAAAAACGAAAATTAGTCAAAATTAATTTTTTTTAATCACAAATTTTTACTCCTCTTGAGTACTATCATCTTTGAATTCTTCGTTTTTTGTAGTCGAAGCTTTGTAATAAAGTCCACAAGGAATTACACTCACCACGGAATGATACTTTGCGCCAATTTCATTTTCTTTAAGCACACCAAGAATTTTTTCGTAATTTTCATCACTTTCCATCGTAAATATAATTTGTAAGTATTGACCATCTAAGGTACTCGACCAAATCGCATTGTCTATTTTAAATTCGCCCAAAATTTCTTCTAGGATCTAAAAATCTTTTTATAACAATTTTATTTATGGATTATTAGACATTTTTTGATTAACCATTTTCATAGAAAACTCTTCAGAATCGATTTCGTATTCACTTAAACTTGATTTATTACTTAACAAACCAGTTTGTTCATTGATTTCTTTTGGTTGTTTAATAAAACCGTTAGAATTCGTTTTTAGATTACCATTTATTTCTGATTTCTTTTTATTTTTCTTTGCGACGATTACTTTTTCTTTATTTTCACTAGGAATTGATATTAAAAAGACGACCCCTGCCATGTTGGACGTTTTAAAAGGATGAGATAAACAAGTACAACGAAAAACTTCTTCGTCTGGTTTTTTTTTTTTCGAAACATGAAGACAACTTTTAAAGGAATCTTTAATTTAATTTTGGATCGAATGATGTGATTTAAAAATAATAAAGCAAATTGGATTGCGCAAGAACAATAAGAAGTGCAAGAATAATAAGTTTTCGTTTTTTGCAATAGATCAGAATAATCAACGCCAAATTATTTGTAAGAAAGCCTTCATGAGCCTTTATGCATTATCACATCACCAGGTGTAACGTTCTAGTCGCTTTGGGGGACCACATGTTTTGTCTACTGATATCCTTACTAACAATAAGATTAATGACCTTCAATTTGAGATATAAATCGATTCTTAATTCGAAAAAATACAATCAAAATGATTTTTTTTTTAATTTTGAAGTTTTTAAACATAACCTAACCCAACTTAGTTTTCTTTAATACGTTTTTTCTCAAATTTTTTTATAATAAACGTTATCATTTTTATGTCACACCTCAAAATATCATCTTTTATCTTCAAATTGCGATATAAATCGTTTCTTAATTCCAAAAAATGAAGTCAATACGATTTTTTTAATTGTGACGTTTTCAAACATAACCTAAAACAACTTAATTTTCTTTAATACCTTTTTTCTCAAATTTTTTTATAATAAACGTTATAATTTTTATATCACATCTCAAAATATCATCTTTTATCTTCAAATTGCGATATAAATCGTTTCTTAATTCCAAAAAATAAAGTCAATACGATTTTTTTAATTTTGACGTTTTCAAACAACCTAACCCAACTTAATTTTCTTTAATACGTTCTTTCTCAAATTTTTTTATAATAAACGTTATCATGTTGATATCACATCTCAAAATATCATCTTTTATCTTCAATTTGCGATATAAATCGTTTCTTAATTCCAAAAAATGAAATCAATACGATTTTTTTAATTTTGACGTTTTCAAACATAACCTAACCCAACTTAATTTTCTTTAATACGTTTTTTCTCGAATTTTTTTATAATAAACGTTATCATTTTTATATCACATCTCAAAATATCATCTTTTATCCTCAAATTGCGATATAAATCGTTTCTTAATTCCAAAAAATGAAGTCAATACGATTTTTTTAATTTTGACGTTTTCAAACATAACCTAACCCAATTTAATTTACTTTAACACCTTTTTTCTCAAATTTTTTTATAATAAACGTTATTGTTTTTATATCACAACTCAAAATAACATTATTTATCTTCCATTTGCAATATAAATCGTTTCTTAACTCCAAAAAATGAAATCAATACGATTTTTTTATTTTGACGTTTTGGCACATAACCTAACCCAACTTAATTTTCTTTAATACGTTTTTTCTCAATTTTTTTTATAATACACGTTATCATTTTTATATCACATCTCAAAATATCATCTTTTATCTTCAAATTGCGATATAAATCGTTTCTTAATTCCATAAAATGAAGTCAATACGATTTTTTTTAATTTTGACGTTTTCGAACATAACCTAACCCAACTTAATTTAATTTAATACCTTTTTTCTCAAATTTTTTTTATAATAAACGTTATCATTTTTATATCACATCTCAAAATATCATCTTTTATCTTCAATTTGTGATATAAATCGTTTCTTAATTCCAAAAAATGAAGTCAATACGATTTTTTAAATTTTGACGTTTTCAAACGTAACCTAACCCAACTTAATTTTCTTTAACACGTTTCTTCTCAAATTTTTTTGTTATTAACGTTATCACTTTTATATCACATCTCAAAATATCATCTTTTATCTTCAATTTGTGTTATAAATCGTTTCTTAACTCCAAAAAATGAAGTCAATACGATTTTTTTAATTTTGACGTTTTCAAACATAACCTAACCCAACTTAATTTTCTTTAATACGTTTTTTCTCAAATTTTTTATAATAAACGTTATCATTTTTATATCACATCTCAAAATATCATCTTTTATCTTCAAATTGCGATATAAATCATTTCTTAATTCTAAAAAATTAAGTCAATACGATTTTTTTAATTTTGACGTTTTCAAACATAACCTAACCCAACTTAATTTTCTTTAACATGTTTTTTCTCAAATTTTTTTGTTATTAACGTTATCACTTTTACATCACATCTCAAAATATCATCTTTTATCTCCAAATTACGATATAAATCGTTTCTTAATTCCAAAAAATGAAGTCAATACGATTTTTTTAATTTTGACGTTTTCGAACATAACCTAACCCAACTTAATTTTCTTTAACACCTTTTTTTTAAAATTTTTTTATAATAAACGTTATTATTTTTATATCACATCTCAAAATAACATTATTTATCTTCCATTTGCGATATAAATCGTTTCTTAACTCCAAAAAATGAAGTCAATATGATTTTTTTATTTTGACGTTTTGAACAACTTCTTTGTGGACGATAACATTGCAGTTCTGTTGCTTTTCGATATAAATAGTTTTTTCTATCTCCTCTAAAATTTATTAATCTGCACATGGACCATTCTTCCATTCACCGATTCAATTTTATTATTATATTCGTAATCTTCATAAAATAACCTTTAAAGTGAGTCCAAACATGACGCATTTATCTCATAAAACCAAAAAGTTCGAACTTTCAACTTTTAATTTTGACATATTTGTTAACTTTATAAAAAATCCTTTAAAATGAGTCCAAACTCGACATATTTAACTTTAATATTAATGGAAATACAATCACTTCCGGTTTGAAACGTCAACGTCAATTTTGACATATTTGTCATCTTCATTAAAAGACCTTTAAAACGAGTCCAAAGATGACGCACTTATCTCAAAAAACAAACAAGTTAGAATAAAAAACATTAAACCCGAAGTTAGCAACAATAAAGATAGCAATTTAATTTTTAAATGTTAATACCAACCTTAATTTTTATTTTTTTTTATTATATTTTTGTTTTGGTGACAAATATTAAGACATTTTATAAAAATTAAGAATATGTCAAAATGACATTGACATTTCAAACTGGAAGTTGCTTATATCTCGAGTAATATTGGAATTAAACGTATCATGTTTGTACTCATTTTAAAGAATTTTTCACGACGATTACAAACATGTCAAAATTGACATTCTTAACCGGAAGTTGATCATAACCTCATTAATATTGAAGATAAATATGTCGTGTTTGTACTAATTTTAAAGGATTTTTAATGAAGATTACAAATATGTCAAAATTGAGGTTGACATTTTAAACCTGAAGTTAGTTATCATATAATAGAAGTTTTATAATTGACGTTAATCTAGTGTTTAGTCGTGAAAAAAACTTTCAGTTGTCAATGTCAACTTTAATTTTATTATTATATTCGTAATCTTCATAAAATAACCTTTAAAGTGAGTCCAAACTTGACGCATTTATCTCAAAAAACCAAAAAGTTCGAACTTTCAACTTTTAATTTTGACATATTTGTCAACTTCATAAAAAATCCTTTAAAATGAGTCCAAACTCGACATATTTAACTTTAATATTAATGGAAATACAATCACTTCCGGTTTGAAACGTCAACGTCAATTTTGACATATTTGTCATCTTCATTAAAAAACCTTTAAAATGAGTCCAAAGATGACGCACTTATCTCAAAAAACAAAAAAGTTAGAATAAAAAACATTAAACCCGAAGTTAGCAACAATGAAGATAGCAATTTAATTTTTAAATATTAATACCAACCTTAATTTTTGATTTTTTTTTATTATATTTTTGTTTTTGTGACAAATATTAAGACATTTTATAAAAATTAAGAATATGTCAAAATGACATTGACATTTCAAACCGGAAGTTGCTTATATCTCGAGTAATATTGGAATTAAACGTATCATGTTTGGACTCATTTTAAAGGATTTTTCACGACGATTACAAATATGTCAAAATTGACGTTGACATTCTTAACCGGAAGTTGACCATAACTTCATTAATATTGAAGATAAATATGTCGTGTTTGTACTCATTTTAAAGGATTTTTAATGAAGATTACAAATATGTCAAAATTGAGGTTGACATTTTAAACCTGAAGTTAGTTATCATATAATAGAAGTTTTATAATTGACGTTAATCTAGTGTTTAGTCGTGAAAAAAACTTTCAGTTGTCAATGTCAACTTTAATTTTATTATTATATTCGTAATCTTCATAAAATAACCTTTAAAGTGAGTCCAAACTTGACGCATTTATCTCAAAAAACCAAAAAGTTCGAACTTTCAACTTTTAATTTTGACATATTTGTCAACTTCATAAAAAATCCTTTAAAATGAGTCCAAACTCGACATATTTAACTTTAATATTAATGGAAATACAATCACTTCCGGTTTGAAACGTCAACGTCAATTTTGACATATTTGTCATCTTCATTAAAAAACCTTTAAAATGAGTCCAAAGATGACGCACTTATCTCAAAAAACAAAAAAGTTAGAATAAAAAACATTAAACCCGAAGTTAGCAACAATGAAGATAGCAATTTAATTTTTAAATATTAATACCAACCTTAATTTTTGATTTTTTTTTATTATATTTTTGTTTTTGTGACAAATATTAAGACATTTTATAAAAATTAAGAATATGTCAAAATGACATTGACATTTCAAACCGGAAATTGCTTATATCTCGAGTAATATTGGAATTAAATGTATCATGTTTGGACTCATTTTAAAGGATTTTTCACGACGATTACAAATATGTCAAAATTGACGTTGACATTCTTAACCGGAAGTTGACCATAACTTCATTAATATTGAAGATAAATATGTCGTGTTTGTATTCATTTTAAAGGATTTTTAATGAAGATTACAAATATGTCAAAATTGAGGTTGACATTTTAACCTGAAGTTAGTTATCATATTATATAAGTTTTATAACTGAAGTTAATCTAGTGTTTTTAATTTTTAACGTGTTTTTGGGTAATTTCACATTAATTAAGAAAAAATCGTCGATTATTAAGCCACATGATGATTCTCGAATTTGTCCCAGGTTTGTTAATATTTCTTTTGTTAAAAAAGAACGTTCTTAAATTTTAGCGTTCGCTGTATAATCGTCAAACGACTGACCAAGCGGATTCTGTGCTTGTGATGGCTGTCATCAGTTTTCTGTGATAAAAATAGACAGCCACCATTCTGAGAAGACTTATATTTTTAGAGAGATGAAAACGAAAATCCCGTTTTTTTTCAACATTGTTCATTTGTCACTTACTCAAGTGATGCATAACGCGCTCCAATTAAGCGTTGTCTTTATGAGACAATGGAATTTATTAAATAACTGAATGATACAAAATATAAAACAAATAAAACGTTCTTAGAAATTAATATAGTACAGATATAGATACAAAAAAAAACATATAAAAATTCAACATGTCACTCAAAAGACATTAAGTTTGTGGGTAGAGGGGTTTGTTCGTTATTTGCAGCCATTTTAAGGTACTTGCACCATCGTTCAGCCGCTCCTTGACTTCCAGATCGAAATTTGTACACGTTACCTTTCTGTTGGTCTACGATTTGGAATAGATCAGGATGAAGCGTGTTATCGCTTAAAAATATTTGACAACCAATCAACGAAACCATTTTGCAAGGTTCACTCTTAAAATCGCTTCTTTGGTTTCCTTTAAACGATTTCGGGGAGAAATAAGCGAGAGAAGACGACCAGATTTGTATCCAATATCGTTGCCATGACGCAACCGCGGGCTTTTTTCCGTGTTTTAAAAGAGTTTTTCTTCTTATACAACCTTGCATTGGACAAAAAGGTTCTTGGAGACTCAACGAATCTTCGTTTTGTCTGTAACAAACACAATAAAATAAAGTAAATAAATATACTTTATTTTATTTAATTATTATAACTTACTTTGTGAGTAAAGTGGAGTCTTCAGATGTATTTCGAGAGGCTTGGAGAGGTATATCGGTTATGGGTGATGGTAATTCGCTATGTGACGTGCTTGTATTGGCATCTTCCAATTCGGAATCATCAAGGAGGTGTAAAGTTTTCGGTAAATCTTTTGGATCGAAGACTATGTGATGCGTTTTACTGAAAATGCTATCAAAACCAAATTAAATTAAATTGACGAAATTTAAATATTGATTATTATTGCTTAAGATGGAGATGATAACGTATGAATTGAGTATTTTACTTTGATTGAAGATCATCCTATTCAAAATCAAACTTATAAAACACAACTTAAAATATCTACACAATCAAAATCATTTTTTACTATATTTATAAAAAATAAAATCTACAAAAACCTTTCTTTAATGCAACCTGATAACATAAAAAAAGTGCAAAATAATGTACATCTAATTGTTTAATAAAATTAAAATTAACCTATAAAAAATAAAAAAATATCTACAAAGCTGTGCATTTTACCAATAAATTCACGACCTCTTAATTTCCCTTTTCTAAAAAGAGACCTACCATTACAACCATTATTACACTCTTTCTGAGTGGATCGGATTTTGCAAGCAAGCGCAGAATCATCTGGCAAGCACTTACCCCAACGTGGCAACAACAGAGTTACGCCCCAGAACGGGGCACCCCTGTTTGTGAAAATTGCGGGGAAGACTCGCGCTACGAAATCTACGAATAACCTCATTTAAACGTCGTGTTAAAAAGGTAAATGAAAAAATGGATGGTATGAATCGTTATGTGAATAATACACAAGAATAAATAAATTACCTATTTACTCAGAAAGAAATAAAAAATATATATGAGTGCTTACTTTGTGCCTAAGCTACGACATTTTCGATGTCCGGGAGTAAATTTGTTTCCTGTTGACGCTGTGGTAAGTCTTAGCGAGCCGCTTGAGATTTTTGCGGGTGATAAATTTAGTGATGCGATTGCCGTTCCGTCCGCGATTACTGATTCTTTAGAACTACAACTTGATGAACTTGGTATTGGTGATGGAGGTTCTAGTTTCAAAGATAATCTAAAATGTTAAAAGAAAAATATTACTTTTATTTTTTATTTATTTTATAGATCTTTGTAAAAAAATTTATTTTATCCGAGGTTCAATAATTAATATCATATCAACCTGAAACTGATCACTATAATGTAGCGTCACGACTCCAAGTGGCCTTGGTTAAGTAAACTGAATTGTACAGGGTGGGCAAATTTGGGTGTTATTGTAGATTATCTCAGAAACTATAAGAGATACGAAAAAAATAGGTGAATAGAAATAGGTCTCCTTTTCCAAGACTAATCCAATCCAGCAAAGACCAAACCTCTATTTTCTTTTGTTTTTAAATTATAGCCAAAAAGTCAAATTTTCGCGATTTAAAAAAATGCTCATATTTCGTTTATTTTTGAAATTAAAGAAAAGCAGTTAATATATTCTTAAGACTCAGTTCGTTTTTGATGTGGCTCCAGAGAAAAAAGTCTAACGGAGTCAAATCTGGTGAATTTCCATTTGTGGCAATCGCCTTATCCCCAAAATTTATATTTAAAAGCATCGAAACAGCTCTAGTGTTGTGAGGAGTTGGAAATAATGTTGGTTTCCTCCATTAATGGGATTTGGTCCATATGATTTTCCATCATCAATTTTATATACACTTTATACCAGACGCTGATGCCAAATCGTCCCTGACTCTGAATATCAATATTTTGATGAGGATTTACATCGAACCAGTAATGGTTATTATGTCGTTCAAAGATACAATTGTTAGATATATAACATTCATCAGTCCAAATATTTTTTCTTGGGAACGATGGGTCTTGTAAATATTGTTGTTCGAACCACATACAAAATTGTAGACGTATTTAAGAATCCCTTTCTACCAATCGTTGACTGTTCCTGTTATTCTTTCCGTTTCAATTTGTCGACTGGAGATGCATGCATCTGCAATGACCGCTCCAATTACATTAATTGCGGCATTTTCAGCACCTTGAATGTTATACTTCTGTGGTCTTGACTTTTTTAAACATCCATAATTGATTAGATTTTCTTTCAGTCCAACATATCATACTTTTCATAGTTACTGAATTCCATAATCAAAATTTTGAACATAAGCGCTTACATTTTTTATACACCATAAGTGCGATACATCATTGGAATGCTAAAAGTATGCTCTTTTCATTAACATCATAATCAACTACAATTTGTATTTAAAAAAATACAACTTTTTGTTGTATCTCAAAAATCATCAAGTCTGTTTAAAATTTTTCAACGGCAGTATATTCTACTCAAAAAGTGACTTAAGAACGTATCAATCCCATTACTCTAATTTCAAATATAAACGAAATATGAGCATTCTTTGAAATCATGAAAATTTGATTTACATATTTGCAGGATTGGATTAGTCTTGAAAAAAGAGATCGGGACATGGCGCCTACTTTTTTCGTATCTTTTGTAGTTTCTGAGAGAGGAGGTAGATACAGGGGGACGGAGAGGAGAGGAGATGGCCGGGGAACAAATGGAGGCGGCGTTGGGGGGACTAAAGAGGGGGAAGGCTCCAGGGGAGGACGGTGTCCAGAATGAGGCATGGCTGGAGGCAACGGGAGAAGTGAGGGGAAAGTTGTTGGAAGCGCTGAACAAAGTTTGGGAAGGGGAAGGGTTTCCGATTGGATGGAGGACGGCGATAATAAGCCCCTTGTACAAGAAGGGAGTGAAGGGAGTAGTGGAAAGTTATAGGGGAATTAGCTTAATGGACTCGGCGTACAAGATATATGCGAAGGCGCTGCTGCAGAGGTTGGAGGAAGAGATGGAAGAGAAAGGGATCTTACCGGACGGACAGGCAGGATTTAGAAAGGGAAGGGGCGCGATAGATAACGTGTACATATTGAAGCACTTGGTGGATAAAGAGCTGGAAGGGAAGGGAGGGAAGCTTTACGCCCTATTCATAGATCTAAAGGCAGCTTTTGATAAGGTGAATAGAGGGAAGTTATGGGAGGAGATGAGGAGGAGAGGGATTACTGGTGGGACAATAAACAGGGTGAGGGAGATATACGCAGAGACGATAGCTAGGGTAAAGGTGGGGGACGAGTTAACGGATAGGTTCTGGACAACGAGGGGTTTGAGGCAGGGATGTCCACTTAGTCCCGCTCTGTTTGCCTTGTATACCGCAGACATGGAAGACAGATTGACCGGTGGGCAGATGGGAGGTGTGGTTGTAGGGAGGAGGAAGGTGCATTCACTGGCTTACGCGGACGATTTGGTGGTAGTGGCGAGAGAGGCGAAGGAGATGAAGGCGATGATGCGGAGTTTGGAGAGTTACTTTAGGGGGAAGGCTCTGGAGGTGAATGTAGGAAAGACAAAGGTTATGAAGTTCTGTAAAGGGGGTAGAAGGAAGAGCGAAGATTGGAGGTGGGAAGGGAAGGAGATAGAGGAGGTGAGGGAGTACACATATTTGGGGTACAGATTTAGAGAGGACAACAAGGAAGGCGCGCATGTGAGGGCAATGGCCAAGAAGGCGAATAAGGTGATGGGGCAGGTCTGGGGGTGGGGAGAGAGATTATTTGGAAGGGATATAGGAAAAAGGAAGATGATATTCGAGTGCTTGATTAGAAGTGTTATGATGTACGGGGCGGAGCTTTGGGGGTGGAAAGAGCAAGGGCTGTTGGAAGGCGTACAGGCTAGGTATTGGAGATGGGTTTTGGGGTTGGCAAAAGAGACGCCGGAGTACATAGTCAGAGAAGAGGTGAAGGTTGATAAGTTAAGAGTGGAGGCGGGTAAAAGGGCGGTACGTTTTGAGGAGAGGGTTGAAGGGAGGTCTCAATGTAAAATTTTGGGGGAGTGCTGGAAAGAGATTAAGGCAGGGAAAGGGGGTTACGGGCAACGAGGGAGGGAGGAATATTTCAGAAGGGTGGGGTACTCAGTGAAAGCGGTAGATGATAGAAGGAGGGAAGGGATTGAGATGTGGAAAGAGCTGGAGAGCAGGGATAGAGATGTACAGAGGCAAGAAAGAAGGGGGCAGATAAGGGAGAGCAGGTACAACCCTAAGTACGAGGAAATAATAACGGAGGGATTGCCGAAGTACCTGTCGGTGGAGGGGGATGAGGAGGGGAAGAGGATGGTGGCAAGATTCAGATGCGGCAATGAGGAGAGAGCGAATAGGTATTGGATGAGAGATGATGAGAGGGGTTGTAGGCTATGTGGGGGGGAGTGGGAGTCGTTGGAGCACCTACTGAGGGAGTGTGACGAGCTAAGAGAGGAGGTGATCGGCTGGAAGCAGGTGCTGGGGGAGGGGGCAGAAGGAAGAGAATGGATGAGGGAGGTGGTGGCGACAAGGCAGCGTAGGGAGATGCGGAGAGGAGATGGGGAGGGGTAGGATAGGAAATAAAATGTATTGTATTGTAATGTGATATATGTAATTGTAGTATTGTTAAAATGTAATTGTTTGGGGAATGTATTGCTGATATGGTAGCAATAAACTTAATTAATTAATAATTAATATCATATCAATCTGAAACTGGTCATCACATTGTAGCGTAACGCCTGCAGGTGATCTTGGCTAAGTAAACTGCTAAACAATTATGTCAAGGTCACTTGCGACCGAGGCGATACAATTAATATCGTATTAACACTTAACTAATGTCAAATAATGCAGAGACTCGGCCGCAAGCGAGGTCATCGCTTAAACCAAGTGAAATCTACATCATTCAATCAAACCGAGGTTAATTCTTTATTACCACAAAGTGGGTGTCAAAAAACTAAAATGCACGAATCATACAGTTCGTTTACAGCCAATTCAGTAAATACACAATCAAAAAATTTTTCAAATAATAGTTGATTAGAATCAAAAAAGGAATAATTTTTCTTAATAACATTTCTCTATATCTCCGCTAGATGGTGTACTCTTATAAAAAAAAACTAGTTCTTTGGAAATAAGTAATCCGCGCATAATTGGAGAAATTATTAATTTATTATTAATTTTAGAGAAAAGTTTTTCAAATGATAGTTGATTAGAATCGAAAAAGGAATCATTTTTGTTAATAAAATTTTTTGATACCTTCGCTAAGTGTCGCTCTGTGCTGTTATAAAAATACCTTTTTACTTTTAATCAAAAAATGTTTCAAGTAATATTTGTTTATAATTAAAAGAGGAACAACTTCTTTTAGTAAAATTTTTTGATATCTCCGCTAGGAAGCGCTGTGTACTCTTATAAAAAACCAGTTTTTCGTTAATAATTAATCCGCGCATAATTAATTATTAGTTTTAGCGAAAAATGTTTCAAATAATAGTTGATTAGGATCGAAAAAGGAATCATTTTTGTTAATAAAATTTTTTGATACCTTCGCTAGGTGTCGCACTGTGCTGTTATAAAAATCCTTTTTTGCTTTTAATCAAAAAATGCTTGAAGTAATATTTGTTAATAATTAAAAGAGGAACAACTTCTTTTAGTGAAATTTTTTGATATCTCTGCTAGGAAGCGCTGTGTACTCTTATAAAAAACCAGTTTTGCGTTAATAATTAATTCGCGCATAATTAATTATTAGTTTTAGCGAAAAATGTTTCAAATAATAGTTGATTAGAATCGAAAAAGGAATCATTTTTGTTAACAAAATTTTTTGATACCTTCGTTAGGTGCCGCTCTGTGCTGTTATAGAAATATCTTTTTACTTTTAACCAAAAAATGTTTCAAGTAATATTTGTTTATAATTAAAAGAGGAACAACTTCTCTTAGTGAATTTTTTTGATATCTCCGCTAGGAAGCGCTGTGTACTCTTATAAAAAACCAGTTTTTCGTTAATAATTAATCCGCGCATAATTAATAATTAGTTTTAGCGAAAAATGTTTGATATAATAGTTGATTAGAATCGAAAAAGGAATCATTTTTGTTAATAAAATTTTTTGATACCTTCGGTAGGTGTCGCTCTGTGCTGTTATAAAAATACCTTTTTACTTTTAATCAAAAAATGTTTCAAGTAATATTTATTTATAATTAAAAGACGAACAACTTCTTTTAGTAAAATTTTTTGATATCTCTGCTAGGAAGCGCTGTGTACTCTTATAAAAAACCAGTTTTTCGTTAATAACTAATCCGTGCATAATTAATTATTAGTTTTAGCGAAAAATGTTTCAAATAATAGTTGATTAGAATTGAAAAAGGAATCATTTTTGTTAATAAAATTTTTTGATACCTTCGCTCTGTGGTGTTATAAAAATACCTTTTTACTTTTAATCAAAAAATGCTTGAAGTAATATTTGTTAATAATTAAAAGAGGAACAACTTCTTTTAATAAATTTTTTTGATATCTCTACTAAGAAGCGCTGTGTACTCTTATAAAAAACCAGTTTTTCGTTAATAATTAATCCGCACATAATTAATTATTAGTTTTAGCGAAAAATGTTTCAAATAATAGTTGATTAGAATCGAAAAAGGAATCATTTTTGTTAATAAAATTTTTTGATACCTTCGCTATGTGTCGCTCTGTGCTGTTATAAAAATACCTTTTTACTTTTAATCAAAAAATGCTTGAAGTAATATTTGTTAATAATTAAAAGAGGAACAACTTCTTTTAATAAATTTTTTTGATATCTCTGCTAGGAAGCGCTGTGTACTCTTATAAAAAACCAGTTTTTCGTTAATAATTAATCCGCACATAATTAATTATTAGTTTTAGCGAAAAATGTTTCAAATAATAGTTGATTAGAATCGAAAAAGGAATAATTTTTGTTAATAACATTTTTTGATACCTTCGCTAGGTGTCGCACTGTGCCGTTATAAAAATCCTTTTTTGCTTTTAATCAAAAAATGTTTCAAGTAATATTTATTTATAATTAAAAGACGAACAACTTCTTTTAGTAAAAATTTTTGATATCTCTGCTAGGAAGCGCTGTGTACTCTTATAAAAAACCAGTTTTTCGTTAATAATTAATCCGCACATAATTAATTATTCGTTTTAGCGAAAAATTTTTCAAATAATAGTTGATTAGAATCGAAAAAGGAATAATTTTTGTTAATAACATTTTTTGATACCTTCGCTAGGTGTCGCTCTGTGCTGTTATAAAAATACCTTTTTACTTTTAATCAAAAAATGTTTCAAGTAATATTTGTTTATAATTAAAAGAGGAACAACTTCTTTTAGTGAAATTTTGTGATATCTCCGCTAGGAAGCGCTGTCTACTCTTATAAAAAACTAGTTTTTCGATAATAATTAATCCGCGCATAATTAATTATTAGTTTTAGTGAAAAGTTTTTCAAATAATAGTTGATTAGAATCAAAAAGGAACATTTTTTGATACCTCCGATAGTCGCTCTGTGCTGTAATAAAAGTACTTTTCTGCTTTTAATCAAAAAATGTTTCAAGTAATATTTGTTTATAATTAAAAGAGGAACAACTTCTTTTAGTGTAATTTTTTGATATTTTCGCTAGGAAGCGCTGTGTACTCCTATAAAAAACTAGTGTTTTGTGAATAATTAAGTTAATTTTTTGAATCATTAATTTAAAATAATTTGAATTATTTTCGTTGTACATTTCATATTAATATTTATCATTTACTTACTTATATTGGTCATCCTCCACAAATTTTTGAAGTTCTTCAATATATCGAATCGAATTGAGGTAGTCTTTAACATGCGGTACACAAGAAACATGCGAATAATCGGAAAGTTGGTAATTAGATATAATACGGAGTATATTATTCATTTTAAGACTGCGTTGTTGAGATTCGAGCCCCCCCGAATGAGGATGCGCCATATCGATGTAAACTAAATCGGTCAGATATAAACCTAAGTACGGAATACATGGTAATTTCAAACTTTCAATGTGACTTCGAAGATTCGACCAATTCTCCGAATCGGAGAAGACGTCCGAGAGTTTATCAAACGATTGTTTTTCCTTTTTCGTGAGGCAACTCCACGTCTTCGAGAGCCTGTACACCGAGGCACTATGTAAGGCTGAGATTATTGCGAATAACGAGTGCAAATTATTGAGATCGTATAATCGTTTGGCGATCTTTATAAAGTGCCCGAGAACGTCCGCTCGTTGTTTCGGGGTGCTGCGGGAAAGTATTTCTTGTACGGCCCAAAAACTGACGTGATTAAACCGTCTCGTGAACGCCACCACGTTCGGAGCTATCGTCATTTTGTTCTTTTTGTTCCATCCGCAACTAGTTAATTCATCCGGTTGAATCGCCAAGAAAATCGGAAGATCTAAAAGGGTCAGCTGATTAGCGAAGTCTTCTGGTGAGATTTGCATTGGGTCGTATACGGCGCAACTGTAGTTTTTTGAGAATTGATTTGGCAAGCTTTGAGTTTTGATATGAACAGGTACATTCCTAAATTTAAAAAATTAATATGTTTTAATTTTTAAAGTAATGAATAAATTTCTTACGAGTATGAATAATATGAATAAGGGGGTCCTGGGCCACCCGAAACGCTGTGAGTGGAGATTTTTCGCGTTCCGTTCGTTGGGGGTTTAAGACAGCCATTGGTCACTGTTGTACATAAATCGGTTGAGTCAATATCTAAGGGGTTACAAGGAGAGGTGGAGATTTCTTTATCCTGCAAAAAGAAATTATATAAAAAAAATAAAGTTATAAACGATTTTTTTACCTCCGATATTCTTAGAGTGGCTAAACTATCTCCGGATGTATCTTTTGGAATTCCTGAGTAACGTAGCATCTTCAACTCATGGCTGCTATTTGATGCCTGCAAAAAAGAACAACAAAATTATTCAACCGAAAGATAATTGCGAAATACAAAACTATCAATGACCGTTTAACGAACTTATTGTTTACAAAACATTCGATAGTTCGAGGACTATCAAACAAACAATTTTATTACACAACTTACAGTCGAATTGTCGCAACAACCGGCGAACTGGCGGATGAAGTGTAAAATGTCCCGCATCTTTAAGCTGTTTCGGTAGTGATGTTGTTGCGGTCTTAATTCGAAAGGACCTTTTTGCGTTTCGAATTGAGTATACATACGGCGCTTCAAAAATTCGCTGGCTCAGACTTTGTAAATGTTGGCAAATGAAAGGATTACAAGTTGTATACAAATTAGGAGTACTAATTTGTATAATAAAAGTATTTATTAAAAATCGTTAAAAATAGTAATTGAGATCTTTTAAGGGAGGGAAGGAGTGGTCGCCGACATCCAGATATTCAAATGCCAACCTCACCTGCATAAATGCTAACTCTAACCCATCTTCGTCTAATCACCCACAAGGCGAATTTAATGTTTCAGAGAACAAACACTAGCCTCAGACATAGCATCCAATTATGTCAAGGTCACTTGCGACCGAGACTGATATCAGATAATGCAAATCATCGGCCGCAAATGACCTCGCTTAAACCAAATGAAATGTGCGATATCATTCAATCAAACCGAGGTCGTTTACGGCCGAGGCGTTATTGTTAATTCTTTATTAACACAAAGGGTGTTGAAACCGAAACGCGTGGGTCGCAAACAACATCGGCTAAAAAAACTAAAATGCACGATATTATCCAGTTAACCCAAGGTCGTTTACAGCCAAGGAGATTCAGTTAATACCGTATCAGCACAAGATTGCAATACACGATGTCACCAAATCAAGCCGAGGTCGCTTGCGGCCATTCAATTAATACCACATCAACGTATTCAAAATTTTTAAAACCGGGATACCGGTATTACTATAAACAAGTTTACTCACTAAATTACAATCACTAAATAAACTGACCGGCAAAAAAAACCGGCCACTTAAATTTTGCCACAATTTCAAAGGTGGGTTTCTCGCGAACCACTCATTCGATTTTGATGATTCCTTTTTTGATCGAAAGGTTGATTTTTCTGTAATAATCCTGCTATAGAAANGGCGGATGAAGTGTAAAATGTCCCGCATCTTTAAGCTGTTTCGGTAGTGATGTTGTTGCGGTCTTAATTCGAAAGGACCTTTTTGCGTTTCGAATTGAGTATACATACGGCGCTTCAAAAATTCGCTGGCTCAGACTTTGTAAATGTTGGCAAATGAAAGGATTACAAGTTGTATACAAATTAGGAGTACTAATTTGTATAATAAAAGTATTTATTAAAAATCGTTAAAAATAGTAATTGAGATCTTTTAAGGGAGGGAAGGAGTGGTCGCCGACATCCAGATATTCAAATGCCAACCTCACCTGCATAAATGCTAACTCTAACCCATCTTCGTCTAATCACCCACAAGGCGAATTTAATGTTTCAGAGAACAAACACTAGCCTCAGACATAGCATCCAATTATGTCAAGGTCACTTGCGACCGAGACTGATATCAGATAATGCAAATCATCGGCCGCAAATGACCTCGCTTAAACCAAATGAAATGTGCGATATCATTCAATCAAACCGAGGTCGTTTACGGCCGAGGCGTTATTGTTAATTCTTTATTAACACAAAGGGTGTTGAAACCGAAACGCGTGGGTCGCAAACAACATCGGCTAAAAAAACTAAAATGCACGATATTATCCAGTTAACCCAAGGTCGTTTACAGCCAAGGAGATTCAGTTAATACCGTATCAGCACAAGATTGCAATACACGATGTCACCAAATCAAGCCGAGGTCGCTTGCGGCCATTCAATTAATACCACATCAACGTATTCAAAATTTTTAAAACCGGGATACCGGTATTACTATAAACAAGTTTACTCACTAAATTACAATCACTAAATAAACTGACCGGCAAAAAAAACCGGCCACTTAAATTTTGCCACAATTTCAAAGGTGGGTTTCTCGCGAACCACTCATTCGATTTTGATGATTCCTTTTTTGATCGAAAGGTTGATTTTTCTGTAATAATCCTGCTATAGAAATTTTTATTCGTATATTAATTTGAGCAAAGAGGGAATTATTGAAATGAAATTACTTTGTAGTCAATTACAAGAGGTTAAATTTTGATTAATTTGTTTATTTTAAATTAATAACTTTTTTTAGATTGTGGATATTTTAATTGAAATGAGAAA